CCAATCAATCAATAGATAAATCAATCAATAAATCCTGTCTCTTATACACATCTAGATGTGTATAAGAGACAGCTGTAACCCTGACTGCGCAGTAGTTTTCTCTTCAAAGTAAGATCTGGCGCCCCAGAGAGGGGTGAAGAGGTAGTAGCAACAGTGATCTTTCTTCATGATGAACGCTGGTCCTTAGTTGCCAGCAGAACTATGATAAAATGGCATGGTCAGTCAGAAAACCAATGTTCAGGGACGCTGGACCCGATTTCCAGCAGGTGTTGCTCCCCACCAATAGATGGAGCCTCCTCGGCAGTGCTAGCGGTGACTGCTCTTACCAGCACTCATAGCACCTGCTCGAGTTAAAAAAAAAATAAAAAAAATAAAATAAAAAATAATGAAGGTCAACTGGGGAACAAAACCAGGACTTGCACCCATCAGGGACACCCACGCCTACTGACCCTCCGGTCAACTGAAAACCCAAAGCACAAACAACAATCAAAAGTATGTCAAAATGGAAAGGGCTGCACACATCATTAGTGGGTAGCAACTAATAGATGCCTCCCCACCCTGCAGTGGGTGGGTGCTCTCAAGGTCGACACTGGAATACAAAGCGCTGCTATCTCTAGTCTAGTGTGCTAATATTGCTGAGATTACTCTCAACAGAGCGCAGCCACATTGGAACACTGTCTCCTCAAGTGCCCTATGGCCCTGCAGGTATGGAGGTGCCGGGGTGTGGTGTGGTGGTGCTTGATGGGAAATGAGTTCAATGGGATATCAGATTGATACTTTCTGGGGAAAACAAGAGACTATTCCCTGCACTAGACTATGTTTCAGAGCAACCTGTTAAAACAACCAGGTTAGAAAAAATACTCATGGTACTGTGAAATGGGAAGGAGGACAAGTAAGAGACCAGGAGGAATTTCAAAGGGACTATCGCCTATCTTTTAACAACTGGATTGAAGTCGACTCTACAATCCCACTACGACCTCTAGCAGAATTCCCGGATCTTTTTCCCTTGTCGAATCGTTGTATGGTTCCCAGATCATGGTATGGTTATGAATGAGACATGCAGGTATCTGAGGATATACGTGCTAGGATGAGACGACTTTTTGGCGCCCTATTAAGGGTGAAGAGGCATGATACAGGCTCTAGTGGACTCCTCCGGGTAGACTGTGAGGACCCCGGCCTCAATATTCTCAAAATTAATATCAGTCTTGGGCACTGGGCCCCTTTTGTTAAAAAAAATAAAAATGCATGGTACTGTCGAGAGCAAGGCACTTGGCGGAAAGAAACGATGACAACTTTGGGCTTATCCCGACCTAAGTGGAGATCTATGAGACAATTAGAATGTGTATGGTCAAAGCAACAAAGAGATTAAGCCAAGATTTGGTAGATCCGGGCTGCGATGCTGTTCTGATGCATGTATGGAATCTACTATGGATGTATTACAGCTCTCTACATGCAGCACGGATCCATTTTGCTGTTCCAAGTACACTTCGGCAGGTGTTGTAGGGATGCATTACTGTTGTGATGCCAGTTTGCTTCGGCAGGACAGATTTGCGAAGATGACAGCTTACATTTACCAAAAGTAGAACTACCATCAGACATCTCTTTCTCCTGAGTTTTGTATCCGTGGGAAGTCGTGTGGGTGCTGAGCAGCTGCAAGAAGATGGGATGGGAGAGTACACGTGGCATATCAAGTAGAAGGGGAATGGACAATGGAGGGAGGAGCTATAGCAACAAGAGGTGTATCTTTTTTTTTTTTTTTTAAGGAAAATAGCCCTTGCGTAAGCCCTCGGTTCCGGCGGTGGTAAGAGAACCGTCCGAATTGAGGGCTTATCTGTCGGGCTGCTCCATCTATAGGTGGGGAGCAGCACCTGCTGGAAACCGGGTCCAGCGTCCCATTGATTCATCTTATAACACAGAGACTCACACACGGAATTTTGAGAGGCAGTAGGCAGGAACGGAGGGTGTACATCACAGTACATGTGGCACAGCGAGTGGAGGTGGACTAGGTTGTGGAGAGGGGGTGTCATGGACTATGGAAGCGGCGGGATTTACATGCTACCAGGGTGTGTTAGGAAATTGGCAGGCATCCTGAGTCCTGACCAGTCGATGCAACAAGGTGTACAGGGAAAGACAAATGGTCACAGACCCGGCGGGCAACCAACCCGAGTGAGGAATTTTATCGGCCGAAAGATGTAAACACACTACAAGGAGGGAGGAACCAAGTGCAGCAAGTATTACCTTCTGGCCACTTGATCCATTTTTTTTAATTTTTTTTTATAAAGAAAAGAGAATTAAAGGAGAGGTTAAAAAACTATGAATGACTACTCACCTCTTTTCGAAAGCTCAGAACCCCTAGACTCCCAAACAAAACTCTACAAAACTGTCCAACACTGTCTTATTCCCTGTCGAGCTCGCCCAGGGACAACCATGGGTTGCTGCTGGGACGACGCTGGTCGGAGCTGGGGCGAGTTGTGTCACCCTGTAACCCAGCAAGTGGTGGGGGTGTGAGACCTGGAAGAGCTCGACAGGGAGTAAGACAGCGTTGGAGAGCCTTGGAAAGGTTTGTTAGGGATTTCTAAGGTTCTGGAGCATTTGTAGGATCCAGGTCTTTATGCTTCCTGAACTGTACAGCAAGTGTCCTTAGTTAAAAAAAGAAGTCTGTTCTCAGCTGAAGCCGGGTAATGGTCCCGGTATCTCAAATGATCTTAAATGAAGGTGAGTGGGAGAAGATGGTGGGTTATCACACGTCCTACCAGTGAGGGGGCCAGCTGGTAGGATGGGAGTATGGTATAGCAACAGCAGAGATGGTGGCTCTGCTGCAGTCAGTCTTGCCGGAGTGAGGTTAAGTGGATTGATGGGGGTCTTTCAGAGTTGTTCTGAAATTTGCCTAATCATGAAGTTGTCTAGGTCTGGAATAGCTTCAATTTCCTTGAGCTCTATCTCAATTTCCAAGCTCCATTCTTAGGCCAATTGGATTCCTCAAGTAGGTTCTTAGTCTTAGTCTTCGTCTTACTCTCATTTTTCATGAAATTTTCTGACGAGTTTTCTGAATGTGCTCGCTATGGGACGCTGGGCCCGGTTGTCAGTTTGTGCCAATTTGGGAGGATATGGTTGTATCTATGGGACGCTGGACCCAGTTTCCAGCAGGTGTTGCTCCCCACCAATAGATGGAGCCTGTTGTTAAAAAAAAAAAAAAAAAAAAAAAAAAAAAAAAAAAAAAAGGCCTCACACCCCCATCTGGCTAAGTTCCAGAGCAACACGACTCGCCCCAGCTCCGGCCAGCATTGTCCCAACAGCTACCCTTGGTTGTCCCTTGGAATGCCCACCCCAAAGCATCCCCAGATCTCTCTACCAGGCCTCACGCTCTGGCCACTTGATCCAGATATTCTATAAGTAAGAAGATCTAACACATCTCAAGGACAGAAGAACCAAGCGATGTTTGTTTATTATTGGTTTTTCCGGAATTTCACGCTGACTGTGGTTTCCAGAGACTCGTAATGGCATTGCGGGAGTACGGCACGGACAGGGAGAAAGACATTGAATTTAAGAGGGGGTGGTACAAGGTAGTTTGAGGAGAGTGAAGGGCAAAGCACTGAACACGGGAGGAAAGAGAAAATTGCCAGAAGAACACGGAGAGGAGAGGGTAGACAAAAATCTGCAGAGCAAGAAAAACGGGACTGAAACAGAAAAAAAGCAGCACAGTCTACAACACTTAGTCGGTCGGCCACAAAGACAGACGGAAGCATGAGAGTTTGAGAAGAGAGGCAACTTTGGGATTGACAGACGAAACATGAGTCGTACAGGACAGGAGTATCATATAGCAGCTTTATCCGTCACCCAGCAACGAAGACAGACAGGAGCAAGGGAAAATTAATGATCTATACGACGATGAGTCGACAAAGCCAACAAGGAAGTGAAAGAAATGATGAGCATATTATGGGGAACGATGATGATGGCAGGTATTATACTCTCCAAGATAACGATCACGAAGAGCGTTGTGATCACCGTTGACTGTGCTCAATCCAGTTCGGCACGGTTCTGCATTTTTAATATATTTTCAAGTGCCGTGGTTACGCGTACATGCCTCATGGCTTTCTGTGTGTTCTACTTTACATTCTCTTTCTCTTTCCTTCATCTTACTTCTTCATCGTCTTGTCTGATACTGCTATTTTTCTGAATTCATGTTTGTGATGTTTATTTCTTCTCCTTTTCTGTTCTTTCCTTCATCTCTCCGTGTTTGCTTTTCCTGTTTACTTTGTCTTGCCCTTAGCGGCCTGTACGCAGTTGTTTGCGTCCACCCTACTCACTCACTCACTGTGATCAATCCACACTGTCAGCAGCGTTAGGACCAACAAGGCAGTACATGAGCCCGGTTAAAAACAAAAAGGCAGTACTCCAATTGACAACCATGGAAGTGGTGAGTGTGGTGGCGAATACTATGTGTACAAGGATTATGAATGGGGTGCAGACACTACTAGCTGCTAGGGGAGAGGGAGGTGGATGGAAGGAGGCTTGGGAGGTGGCTGCATTGGGATGAATAAGGGAATAACAGCACAGCACTGCTGCTATCTTCACTGCCACTGCAAGGTCACAACCAGATCAAACAACAGAGAATGCAGCGGATGTCATGCGTGCATATTATGTTTCGTGCTTTTTGAACATGCATACAAGGTGTTGTGCTCGTTGTAGGCTAATATTCCACGGGTTTTGCACACCCAAGAAAAAAAAGAATGCTGACCGATGGGCCTGCAAGTGTACCATGCAAGGAGGGGGAAAGAAAAGAAAAGAAAGGAGGTCATTTTTTTCCCTTTTGTGAAATGCATTTGTTTTGGCCTGTTTTGGCCTCTTCTGCTCTGAAACCGGGTACGGATGGAAAGGCCTTCACAGTAGTGTTGTGCACAAAAGTCCTGGGGGCCTATTGATGTTGGACCGTTGTTTGTCA